TTGACTATTCCCACATGAGCATTTTGTGATAGATCTTGTATTAGCTCAAGGAGCTTGCGATATTTTTGTTGCAATTTAAATGCTTGCAGTGTTAGCACTTCTGATGCTTTTTGTGTCATGATAGCTAAAAGAGAGAAAAGATTATAATGATTCTATTGTGTGCTAATGCGTGTACCTATACTTGTGTTCCAAGCAGGTACTGATGATGGTTCAAAAAGTTGAGTTTCTGTATAAAATATTGATCATTATAGATTATTTGTTGTATTTTGAAAATTGTATTGTTCAAATTGGTTTATTAGTTAAAAGTTATAAGCATTTTGTGATACCTGTTTGAGTAGTTTCTGTGGTTTTAGATGCTTCCTCCTTCACTCTTTCTTCATATTCCTGAGCCATTCTGTCCTCTCCTATTACTTTGAGTGTCAGTGCCTCAACCAGTTGATTGTGACTAGCTTCTGGTTGGCTTGCAATCCAAAGACGAAACATTTGTGTTCTCTTATCCTGTGTGTCAGATTTTTCACTTTCTATATCATGGAGCATATCTGAGTCAACTCCTAACTGTATACCCAACTGATGCCATCGGCTTGTCCTCACTATAGCACACACAGTCTTCAGATCTGGTTTACCATTCATAACAGAATAGACTTTAGGAGAAAGAAGAGTGGAATCAATGGATGAAGAAGTAGATGAAGAAGCACTTCTTCTTTCAGCCATACTTGGTCTTCTTTTACTCCTTAAACTGTGCCATATGGTCTTTTTATGGACAATTAGGCATCTTAAAAACATTCACATACCATAGTAATTCCCTACGCAGTATGGTAGACATAAGTTATCTAATGTATTTGTTATGTGTGGGCTAGCTGTACTGTAGCAGAGCAAATGATTCATACATTGATTGTTTCTTCAGTAAAATTATTTTGTTAAGAAAAGTCTGAGCCATCTAATTTGAAGCCATTAAAACTCTTAACTTTTAATGTACTTGTGTACACTTTGATACAGCTTGTTTATTCCATTACAATAAGTATAAACTCTCATGCTTCTACTTACAGCCTTTTGAATTATGTGTAACATTAATAAATAATAATAACAACATATGTTTAAGAGCAGCAAATTCCAAGTTTTAAAATTTAAAAAATTATTACACAAAAGTCATGTTCAGTGGTTGAATGCATATTTTGCTTTTGAAGGAGTTCTTAATATTTTGACAGTGGAGAATTAATTTGTGAAGAGTAACCACTATCAGTGCTACTTGAAACAGTTTTTCGAAGAGGTTTATTTGAAAAAGCTTTTAACAAAACCTCTGACGAAACTTTTGTTGGTAATTTTCTTTCTGACTCAAGCTCAAGAACTCTTTCAGATTCCCTCCTTTGTGATGTGACTATTTTTTTGAGCAGTACAAATTGTTGACTCTGCATTTCACCTTTTCCCTCCTCTACTGACTTTTCTGTTGGTACTTCTCTCAGTCTTTCTGTCATTTTCATTGTATATGAAGGAGTTTCGATTGTTATTCCATTTACTTTAAGTCTTTTCATGTGCTCTTTATCGCTTAGGAAACTCATAACTTCGAGCAGGTGAACAGGAAAAATGGCATAAGTAATTAGTATGCATTTGTAGCCGATACTTTGAAGTAGGTGCTTGTTCTCTTCTAGAAAAGGTACCCATCCATTTAGATCTTTTTTGTTTCTGCTTTTCCATTTTTTTGAAAGAGTAATAATGACAATCGGTAGTCCTATGACAGTGCTTGGATTTACATGAGGGTTTTCATCAAAGACCTCAATCAGATGACAAAATGAAGGCTCTTCAATGAACTTACAATAGTGCTTCTCATACTCTACTACCTCAGCTTGTGCCTTTTTATACCCATCTCCACATATAACTTCACTTGACAATTCTTTTAGAAGGTAATAATTTAGGTAACCAACAAAACGATTTTTAATGAGGAACTTAAATACTTCATCCATGCCTGTGATTCCATCAATAATTTCCTTGTAGCCATGTAACTGATAGATGCAGTGGTATTGTAGTATAGCCCTTAGCTGGTTCTTGACTATTCCCACATGAGCATTTTGTGATAGATCTTGTATTAGCTCAAGGAGCTTGCGATATTTTTGTTGCAATTTAAATGCTTGCAGTGTTAGCACTTCTGATGCTTTTTGTGTCATGATAGCTAAAAGAGAG